GTGTTGCTGACAGCTGTCCTGCCCTTAAAAACACACACCTGTTTTGGGTTTACTGGTTTCAAGAAGCACTGTCTGATGTGAACCATGCCTCGCAGAAAAGAGCTCTCAGAAGACCTACGATCAAGAATTGTTGACTTGCATGAAGCTGGAAAGGGTTACAAAAGTATCTCCAAAAGCCTTGATGTTCATGTGTCCACGGTAAGACAGACTGTCTACAAATGGAGAAAGTTTAGCACTGTTGCTACTCTCCCTAGCGCGGTTGTCCTGTAAAAATGACTGCAAGAGCACAGCGCAGAATGCTGCATGAGGTAAAGAAGAATCCCAGAGTGTCAGCTAAAGACCTACAGAAATCTCTGGCACATGCTAACATTTTTGTTGACACATCTACAATAAGGAAAACATTAAACAAGAATGGAGTACATGGGAGGACACACCACGGAGGAAGCCATTGCCGTCCAAAAAGAATATTGCAGCACGTTTGAAGTTTGCAAAAGAGCACCTGGATGTTCCACAACACTACTGGCAAAATATACTGTGGACAGATGAAACCAAGATTGAGTTGTTTGGGAAGAACACACAACAACACTATGTATGGAGAAAAAAAGGCACAGCACACCAACATCCAAAACCTCATCCCCACTGTAAAACATGGCGGAGGGAGCATCATGGTTTGGGGCTGCTTTGCTGCCTCAGGGCCTGGACGGATTGTTGTCATTGATGGGAAAATAAATTCCAGAGTTTATCAAGACATTTTGCAGGAAAATGTATGACCATCTGTCCACCAACTGAAGCTCCGCAGAGGATGGGTGATGCAACAGGACAATGACCCAAAGCATACAAGTAATTCAACAAAACAATGGCTGCAACAGCACAGAATACACCTTCTGGAGTGGCCCAGTCAGAGTCCTGACCTCAACCCGATTGCAATGCTATGGCATGACCTTAAGAGTGACTCACACCAGACATCCCAAGAATATTGCTACACTGAAACAGTTTTGTGAAGAGGAGTGGTCCAAAATTACTCCAGATCTTTGTGCAGGTCTGATCTACAACTACAACTACAGGAAATGTTTGGTTGAGGTTATTGCTGCCAAGGAGAGTCAACCAGTTATTAGGTCCAAAGGTTCACATACTTTTTCCTCCCTGCACTGTGAATGTTTACATGTTATGTGCTATTAAACCATGGCAACATCTAATGTTTGTGCAGTATTATGTTCAGCAGACTGTGTTCTTCTATTGTTGTGACTTAGATGATGTTCAGAGCACATTTTATGCCCAATTCATGCAAAACTCCACGTTATCCCAAGGGGTTCACATACTTTTTCTTGCAACTGTAGTGGATTGCATGCTATTTGAACTGCATCTAATCTGCATGACATGAGAAAAGACATTGCTTCCTATGGTGCCTGTTCACATGTTCATGTTCGGTGCACTGATGGTGTGGATTCAGTGCGGTTTTAAAGAGTCATGTCCGATTTCTGAGCATTGCGGCCCGGTTCAGGTGCGGATTACAGGCAATTGACTTCTCTGGGAACCGTTCCTAACCTGCATATGTGTGAACAAGAAAAGATCCTGAACTAATCCTGTCTTGAACCTGACGTAAACCTGACATGAACCTGTGAACAACTACTGTATCAATTAGCTGTGAAACCTGAGCTTCACTCCGCACTGCACGTTTGGATGGTTTACCAAACATTTTGGTCCATATGGACATGAGTTACTGTTGCCTTTTTATCATCTGGAACCAGTCTGCTCATTCTCCTCTGACATCCACAAGGCATTTTCGTCCACACAACTGCTGCTCACTGGATATTTTCTCTTTTTCGGACGATTCTCTGTAAACCCTAGAGATGGTTGTGTGTGAAAATCCCAGTTTGATGCCCGGTTTGAACTTCAGCAAGTCGTCTTCATCAAGTCTAGATACCTAAATGCATTGAGTTGCTACCATGTGATTGGTTGATTAGCAATTTGTGTTACCAAGCAATTTGTAACCTAATAAAGTGCCCAGTGAGTGTGTGTGTGATATATATATATATATATATATATATATATATATATATATCACCATGGCCACAGGTGTATAAAATCAAGCACCTAGGCATGCAGACTGCTTCTACAAACATTTGTGAAAGAATGGGTTGCTCTCAGGAGCTCAGTGAATTCAAGCGTGGTACCATCATAGGTTTGCCACCTGTGCAATAAGTCCATCCGGGAAATTTCCATGCTACTAAATATTCCATGGTCAACTGTAAGTGGTATTATAACAAAGTGGAAGCAACTGGGAACAGCAGCAACTCAGCCATGAAGTGGTAGGCCATGTAAAATGACAAAGCAGGGTCAGTGCATGCTGAAGCGCACAGTGCGCAGAAGTCGCCAACTGTCTGCAGAGTTAATAGCTAAAGGCCTCCAAACTTCATGTGGCCCTCAGATTAACAACAATGCGCAGATAACTTCAATGAATGGGTTTCCATGGCTAATCAGCATCATCCATGCCTTACACCAAGTGCAATGCAAAGCGTCGGATGCAGTGGTGTAAAGCACACCGCCACTGGACTCTAGAGCAATAGAGACATGTTCTCTGGAGTGATGAATCACGCTTCTCTGTCTGGCAATCCTATGGACGGGTCTGGATTTGGCGGTTGTCAGGAGAATGGTACTTGTCTGACTGCATTGAGCCAAGTGTTAAGTTTGGTGGAGGGGGGATGTCAGGGCTCCCGGGTATGACCAGAGGTGTGTGACTGACGCAGGGAAACGCAGACTTCAGATAAGTTATAAACAATTTATTAACGCTAACAATACAAACATAAACGCAGTGCAATACTAAAACATAACACAGTGCAAACGAACCAAACCAAACCACCCACAGATAACAGTACATACAGTGCAAGCGTCGTCAGGCAGGCCGGGTCAATATCAGTCGGGCAGGTAGGTACAGGGGGAGCAAGCGGAGAATAGTCAGGTCACGAGCAGGGTACAGCAACTAACAGGCAGGTAGGTCAGGGGGTCAGGCAGAGAATGGTCGGGGTCACAAGCCAGGGATCAGAACAGAAGTCAGCAGAGGTCAGAATCAAGCCGGGTCAGCAACAAGACAGGAACAGGAACAGGAGCAGGATGCAGGATGCAGGAACAAGATACAGGGCCCAGGAAAAACACAACACCAAGGCAGAGTCTGCAGGTCTGAATGTCCCTTAAATACACCAGTATAATTAGTTCCAGGTGTTTGACTGGCTGCAAGGTTGAGTCTCTGATTGCTGGGAGCACCCGCTGGCCAGCCCTGGTACTGCAGCTCACAAGGCAGGTGAGTCCCACTATTGCTGGCCAGTCCATTCCTGACAGTACCCCCCTCAAGGAGCGGCCTCAGGACACTCCAAACAGTCCTAGCTGGGCAAAAAGTTCCATCGCCCGGGTCTGGTAACTGGTGGGATATCAAAGACTGGCACACCGGGCAGGACTCCGGGCAGGGGCACACCGGGCAGAGGCACATCGGGCACCGGGCAGAGGCACATCGGGCTGGACTCCGGGCAGAGGCACATCGGGCTGGACTCCGGGCAGAGGCACATCGGGCTGGACTCCGGGCAGAGGCACATCGGGCTGGACTCCGGGCAGAGGCACATCGGGCTGGACTCCGGGCAGAGGCACATCGGGAGATTACCAGGTGAAGCAGCAGGCACTGGGCCCCCAGGCGGGGCGACAGGCATCATCGGGCCCCCAAGCGGAGCAGCAGGCGCCGGGCCCCCAGGTGGGGCGACAGGCATCGGGCCCCCAGGTGGGGCGACAGGCATCGGGCCCCCAGGCGGGGCGACAGGCATCGGGCCCCCAGGCGGGGCGACAGGCATCAGGCCCCCAAGGAGCGGCAGGGCGCCGGGCCCCCAGGCGGGGCGACAGGCATCGGGCCCCCAGGAGGGGCGACAGGCATCGGGCCCCCAGGAGGGGCGACAGGCATCGGGCCCCCAGGCGGAGCGGCGGGCGCCGGACCCCCAGGCGGAGCAACAGGTCTCAGGCCCCCAGGCGGAGCGGCGGGCGCCGACCCCCAGGCGGAGCGGCGGGCGCCGGACCCCCAGGCGGAGCGGAGTCAACGGCGGGCGCCGGACCCCCAGACGGAGCGACAGGTCTCGGGCCCCCAGGCGGAGCGGCGGGCGCCGGGCCCCCAGGCGGAGCGGCGGGCGCCGACCCCCAGGCGGAGCGACAGGTCTCGGGCCCCCAGGCGGAGCGGCAGGCACCGAGTCACCAGGCACGACAGTGGGCACCGAGTCGTCTGGCAAGACTGCGGGCACCGAGTCGTCTGGCGGAACAGCGGGCACCGAGTCGTCTGGCGGAACAGCGGGCACCGAGTCGTCTGGCAAGACTGCGGGCACCGAGTCGTCTGGCAAGACTGCGGGCACCGAGTCATCTGGCAAGACTGCGGGCACCGAGTCGTCTGGCGGAACAGCGGGCATCGAGTCAACTGGCGGAACAGCGGGCACCGAGTCGTCTGGCAAGACTGCGGGCACCGAGTCGTCTGGCAAGACTGCGGGCACCGAGTCGTCTGGGCAAGACTGCTGCGGGCACCGAGTCATCTGGCAAGACTGCTGGCACCGAGTCATCTGGCGGAACAGCGGGCATCGAGTCAACTGGCGGAACAGCGGGCATCGAGTCAACTGGCGGAACAGCGGGCACCGAGTCGTCTGGCGGAACAGCGGGCACCGAGTCGTCTGGCAAGACTGCGGGCACCGAGTCGTCTGGCAAGACTGCGGGCACCGAGTCGTCTGGCAAGACTGCGGGCACCGAGTCGTCTGGCAAGACTGCGGGCACCGAGTCGTCTGGCGGAACAGCGGGCACCGAGTCAACTGGCGGAACAGCGGGCACCGAGTCGTCTGGCAAGACTGCGGGCACCGAGTCGTCTGGCAAGACTGCGGGCACCAAGTCGTCTGGCAAGACTGCGGGCACCAAGTCGTCTGGCAAGACTGCGGGCATCAAGTCAACTGGCGGAACAGCGGGCACCGAGTCAACTGGCAAGACTGCGGGCACCGAGTCGTCTGGCAAGACTGCGGGCAGTCGTCTGGCAAGACTGCGGGGCGGAACAGCGGGCATCGAGTCAACTGGCGGAACTGCGGGCACCGAGTCGTCTGGCAAGACTGCAGGCACCGAGTCGTCTGGCAAGACTGCGGGCACCGAGTCATCTGGCGGAACAGCGGGCATCGAGTCAACAAGCTGGCGGAACAGCGGGCACCGAGTCGTCTGGCGGAACAGCGGGCACCGAGTCGTCTGGCAAGACTGCGGGCACCGAGTCGTCTGGCATTGGATCGTCTGGCTCGACAGCGGGCATCGGGTCACCAGGTATGACAGCGGGCACTGGGTCACCAGGCATCAGGTCATTTGGCTCGCCAGCGGGCACCGCGTCATCTGGCAAGGCAGTGGGCACCGAGTCACCAGGTACGACAGCGGGCTCTGAGTCAATTGGCACTACAGCGGGCACCGGATCAGGTACCGGATCATCTGGATCAACAGCGGGCATCGAGTCAACTGGCCTAATAGGATCATCAGGCTGGATCAGTTCATTATGCTGGGTAGAAGCATCCGGCTGAGTAGAGGCATCCGGCTGAGTAGAGGCATCCGGCTGAGTAGAGGCATCCGGCTGAGTGGAGGCTTCAGGCTGAGTGGAGGCATCAGGCTGAGTGGAGGCATCAGGCTGAGTGGAGGCATCAGGCTGAGTGGAGGCATCAGGCTGAGTGGAGGCATCAGGCTGAGTAGAGGCATCCGGCTGAGTAGAGGCTTCAGGCTGAGTAGAGGCTTCAGGCTGAGTAGAGGCTTCAGGCTGAGTAAAGGCATCAGGCTGAACCACGGAAGGCAGGTTCTCAGACAGTAGGCTCACCGTTTGGATACTGGCAGGATGGTACTGGTTGGAAAGAATTTTCGCTTTTTTCTGGTTTTAACTACTGGGGCACTGCAAGTAAACGCAGGTCTGCAAATGAATGGAGCAGCTGGAGACAGAGAAGAGCTGGAGGATGGAACAGGGAAGGAACAGTCGATACAGAGGGCTTCTTTACAGGGTTAAAGGCAGGATAGGTGCAGCGAGTGGGAACAGGGTACTGACATGCGGTAGATAGCCAAGTATACTGGGCTGTAACTGGAGGAGCTGTTGGGAATACAGGAGTAGAGCTTTGAGGAGATAGATTAGAACCAGGACTGGGTCTTTGTAAGCTGACTGAGGCTGGGTGTAACAAATCTGTCCATGTCTGCAGTATGGGTTGAACAAAGCTGAGCTTACACAAAGCCTGTCTGACCAAAGACTGCACTGCGTTTATACAATCTCTTAGTACCTGTGGTGAACATGTGGAATAACGCTCCAGAAAGTAACCCACATCATCCTCTAATAACCATACCAGGGACTCTACCTGGTCTGCACTAAATGGTGGCAAAAATTCATCCCTGCATTCGGGGGTACCAGATGAAACCAACTCAGCACAAACCTCAATCAATGGCTGCACCTCAGAGAATTCTGTGCCCTGATCTACTAGAACATGAGTGAGCCGTATACATTCTAGCAGTTCATCCCGGGGATACTCCTTCAGAGTTTGATAAGCATACTCCCTGTCATCAAAAACTAGCAGATATAAATACGCAACCTCATCCAGATCCATCCTTCCCATCAACAAACCAAGATGGCTTCCCTGTGCAGCCACTTCTGGTCAGGATTGGCCTTGGTGTAATGTCAGGGCTCCCGGGTATGACCAGAGGTGTGTGACTGACGCAGGGAAACGCAGACTTCAGATAAGTTCTAAACAATTTATTAACGCTAACAATACAAACATAAACGCAGTGCAATACTAAAACATAACACAGTGCAAACGAACCAAACCAAACCACCCACAGATAACAGTACATACAGTGCAAGCGTCGTCAGGCAGGCCGGGTCAATATCAGTCGGGCAGGTAGGTACAGGGGGAGCAAGCGGAGAATAGTCAGGTCACGAGCAGGGTACAGCAACTAACAGGCAGGTAGGTACAGGGGTCAGGCAGAGAGAATGGTCGGGGTCACAAGCCAGGGATCAGAACAGGAGAAGTCAGCAGAGGTCAGAATCAAGCCGGGTCAGCAACAAGACAGGAACAGGAACAGGAGCAGGATGCAGGAACAAGATACAGGGCCCAGGAAAAACACAACACCAAGGCAGAGTCTGCAGGTCTGAATGTCCCTTAAATACACCAGTATAATTAGTTCCAGGTGTTTGACTGGCTGCAAGGTTGAGTCTCTGATTGCTGGGAGCACCCGCTGGCCAGCCCTGGTACTGCAGCTCACAAGGCAGCAGGTGAGTCCCACTATTGCTGGCCAGTCCATTCCTGATAGGGGATTATGGTGTGGGGTTGTTTTTCAGAGGTTGGGCTTGGCCCCTTAGTTACAGTGAAGGGAACTCTTAAGGCGTCAGCATACCAAGACATTTTGGACAATTTCATACTCCCAACTTTGTGGGAACAGTTTGGGGATTGCCCCTTCCTGTTCCAACATGACTGCACACCAGTGCACAAAGCAAGGTCTATAAAGACCTGTATGAGTGAGTTTGGAGTGGAGGAACGTGACTGGTCTGCACAGAGTCCTGACCTCAACCCAAAAGAACACCTTTGGGATGAATTAGAGTGGAGACTGCAAGCCAGGCCTTCTCGTCCAACATCATTGCCTGACCTCACAAATGTGCTTATGGAAGTAAGGTCAAACATTCCCATAGACACACTGCTAAACCTTTCCCTTTTTTGGACAGCCTTCCCAGAAGAGTTGAAGCTGTTATAGCTGCAAAGGTGGGCCAACTCAATATTGAATCCTACTGACCAAGACAGGGATGCTATTAAAGTTCATGTGCGTGTAAAGGCAGGCGTCCCAATACTTTTGGCAATATAGTGTATATTGTATATCTCACCTTTTTACATACAACGTATACATTAAAAAGGTAAATAATTGAAAACCATATTATTAGATTCCCTAATATCAGCAAAATGCACTTCCCCAAAGTAAATATTTCTCTGAGCCTCTTAGTACAATTTGTATCAGAAAAGAATAATTAAAAAAAACCCATTTATTTAGACTCTTCAGCTCTGTATCTACAAGATAGTAGTTTTATAATGAAAGAGATTTGTGTCTGATTACTCTTGCCTCTGAATTACATCAGTTCATGTTCGCTTGTGTATGCAAATTGTTGTTCTCTGCAGAACAGCAGCAAAAACATTTGATTTGGTAAGTACTTTTTTTTCCTTCTTCCCCTTTGAAGATCTTACTCATGAAACTAAGCTTCAAAATTGAGCGTGGCCTTTCAGTGTCTCTGTAATTATACGCTTCTCTCTGTATTTTATTTGGCTGTCTGAGCAATTAACCCCTGCTAGTAATGCTCAGGATAGCGTGACCAGCGCCCGGCTACATGCTTGACAATATCAATGCACCGTTGTTCCCCAGGAGCTTGTAGTGGGGGACTTGTGACACTATCCTTTAACTGATCTGGAAGGCCCTTGCATGTTAGATGATGATTACAATTGCTTAGAGACATCGCTGACTCTAAACGCATAGATGAAACAGGTATGGGTCACCTGCAAAAATCTCTTTGATGTAATCAGCATCTGTCAATAGAATGAATTTGCTTTTGTTTCGTAATGAAGGGCACTTGTCTGGTTGTGTCCAATCAGCCCGAGGCTTATCACTAAATTCTTTGGGTTTTGCCCACCAAATGCAAGACGGCTTTTGTATATTGTAACTTATACGGTTCTGTTCTGCCTTCTCTTCACTGATGAAAGGGATGTGCGCATAGAGACGTATTTACTATTCTTCTTAGAATTTGCAACATTAAAGTGAAACTCTGGTTTGTTGTCCCCATTTATTTCCAGAAAAGACGTTAACATACTTCAGATTCTTGCCCGTTTCTGTTTTGTAGATAATAATATGAGCCATTTGAGTTTACTTGTATACATTATATTCTTATGTATTATGAGCATATATGAACTGTCTAAAATACGTCCAGTGTGCTTCTCAGAATCTTGTCAGCATGACAGTTGTTTCCTAGCATGGAATGCAGACATCTGATTGATAATTGACTACTGTCTGGTATGGACAGAGGCCCCAAGAGACAATAAGGGACAAATGCCTGATTGCCAGATAGAAAGTCCACATTTGCTTTATGCTTTCTAAGTTGGTCATTCTACAAATGCATATTTGGCTGTTCATCATCAAAATTAATATTGATCATGCGAGTTTTGCACTTTTTCCAGAAAATTAGTTCCAAGGTTAGTGCACATGTGGTAGGATTCAGAGGCACGTCAAACCTAACATGTTTTCAGAAATTAACAGACAAAATGGGGTTGATTTACTAAAACTGGAACGTGCAAAATCTGGTGCACCTCTGCATGGTAGCCAATTAGCTTCTAACTTCAGATTGTTTAATTAAGTGTTGACAAAAAAAAAATAGTGGAAATGATTGGTTTCTCTGCAGAGCTGCATCCGATTTTGCACGTTCCAGTTTTAGTAAATACACCCCAATGGCTTGCATTTTAAATCACTTTGAGTTGCCTTGGCTTGCTTAGTTGATTTTGTTTGGATTTTTATGGTACAGGAAAAAAAAGTTAAGAAATCCCTGATAAGATGTGCAGCATTTATACAGATGCCAAGCAAATGAAGTAATAAATACAAGTGGATTCTTTCTTAGATACTCAGAATATAACTGGATACTAACATTTATAGGTAAAGTTGATCCAGGGAATGTCCGATTGCCTCTTGGGGGATCAGAAAGGGATTTTTTCTCCCTGCAGGAACAAATTGGATCATGCTTTGCTGGTTTTTTTGCCTTCCTCTAGATCAACTGCGGGTGTAGAATTATAATCAATGAACCAAATTCCACACTCTATCACCTACCAAAATAATCTACTATACCCAAAAGAAAAGTAAACTTTCACCCTTGAAAGTATAAATACATATAACTAAACTCTTCTTAAACATAAATACTCAAAAATCTCAATACTTATAATACATACATAAATAAATAAATTTGATACGAAAATAAATAACAATAAATAAATTAAATAAATAAATCCCAAATTTATCCCAAATTTATATCAACCTAAATAATCCAAAACAAAGTCCCAAATAAATACATAAATAAAGTTAATACGAAAATAAATAACAATAAATAAATTAAATAAAATAAAAAGATCCCAAATTTTTATCAACCTAAATAACCCAAAACAAAGTCCCAAAAAAATCCAAAGTGTCTCTGTAAAAAGTCTTCCAAATTCTCAAACCAACTTGTATCCCTCTTTAGTCATCCAGAATGGAATATCCAAAGTTCTTCGTGAACCTCAAAGAAATAAACTTATAATAGTGTGTAGTGCTCACTATTAGAGTTTTGGCTTATTATTTATTTTACTATTTGGAGTGATAACTTATGTTTCATAGTTTGAAGTTGGTATGGTCACGATTTTTGATTATTATCACGAGTATATTTACCTACTGAGAGATTGATATATCATAATATAATCTATATATTTTTTTTTTCTCA